GGGCCCTAGAGCTTAAAGGGTTAAGTATATGCCTAAAGTTTGCGATAGAATATAACGAGTATACATTACCCTTCTTATAAACCAAAAACCTGACAGAAAATGCTCCATTTTAAAATTAATATTCAACGTATTTATTTCTTTAATCAGGTTATATTGAAGTGGGCAAAATGTGTCTTTTTTAATGGTAATGCAACTGAACTGTCTCTTAAATATGAAATTATATGGCAAAAATAAGGTGAATTGAAAAATAAATTAATATATAGAATAAACCTACAGAATTCGATATCAAACTAGTAAACTTGGAGATTATTAAATAGTCACACAAGACGTAGCAATTGCTTCCTAATGGGACAGGAAACGTTAGCTGAAACTCAGGTATTCTTAAAACGTTACTACACACAACACAAAACAATCATACAACACAGGCAGGCAGGTGCAAAGCAAGAAGATAGGATGTAGAAGAGCGAACATGCAGATGTGAGAGACTGCCTTTAATTGACAAAGTTGGCATGCTTAGAGTAATCAAAGCAGAAAATTTGAGAATTGAAAAAAAAAATGAATCTAAGCAAATGCTATAAGCGAGAAGACAAAAAGCGCCAGACTATTAAGTAAAAAACAAAAAAGGCTAAAATGCAAAAAAAAATCCTTTATTTTCAAAGACCTGGACAAGATTCCAAGCATATCGCACCGATCTCTGGAAGCATTTTACTACAAAAAACTCAAGTATTAATTGCTTATTTATATTTTAACCATATTTTGGCAAATAAACCAATCCTTCAACCAGTTATTCGTTCTAAAAAGTTAAACTGAAAATAAGCAATAACATACTCAAGCTTCTTCTAATGAAACCTTCAGGAACCCGTAGAAGAACAAAACCCTTGGAATCCCATCTAAGCCTTTGAAAAAAAAAAAAGATTATTTTTTATACATTTAGGGCGTTTTTTTTTTCCACTTAATATTGACAGCCAAAGACATAGAGACAATAATCACCCATCATCAGGTGGGACACGGTGGGAGCCGACGTTGTCGTGGAAGGAATAAAGTGGAGGAGTTGAATCTCACGTTCTGACCAAAGTGAAGAAACGACCTCTCCACTTAGTCCAAGCCACGTCGCTTACTCTCTCTTCTCGTAGCATATCACACCGTAGGGGGCCCTGGTATAGTATGGTACATGTACTGTATATTTAGTCTATAGTACTGTATAGTAGAATACAACTATATAGGTAGAAATTATTATTATTGTATAGATAAACTACGTTGTGTATATAGTCACAGTGTGGAAAATACTATACTATACCTACTACATATAGGTTTCTCTCATCTCTCATATAAGTTTCTCTTCTCTTCAATTACTCTGTAAATTGGCGAATCTTTTATAGGACGAGAGGTCCTCAATAAAGGCTTTTGTTGTTGTTTGTTGTTGATAAACTACGTTGTGATATATTAATATAGGAAAGTGAATTAACCTACACCTAACTGATAGTATAACCTTTAGTTGCTCTATTGAAAACACGTCGGCTTATAAATTTGACAAAAAAAAAAGGATCAAGACATCCCTACGAGAAGTTATACTCTTGAATCGAAAGAATGCACATGATCGATAAAGAATGAGAATAATAAATCAAAATTATAAACTATTTAAACGCAAATATTTCCTTTATCGATATAGACAATTTCTTACTGCTCTCACTGCAATAATAAAATATTGTTGTTTTTTTTTTTTTTTTAGCATATCATGATTAAACAGGCAAAACCGCTCGTGGATGGTTTACTACTGATGAGTCCTAATATTTTATCATTGCAGTAAGGGGGCAATAGGGAATTGTTTATATTTTTATAAAAAAAAAAGCATGTGCGTGAATAGTTTGTAATTTTGAATGCAGATGGCGCGTTTCTCATGTAATGATCATTAGTATATAGTTTTATCGTATGAAGAAGACGAAGTTGCGAGAAGTAATGCGCCAACCCCTCAAACATTCAAAAGTTTTCTATGATGTGAATATACGGAGGCCAAGTCACATGATATTTTATAGTGCAATAAATTCACTAAAATCTAAAGCGTGGAAATTCTGTTTGATGAGACCCTTATATCTACAAGAACCTAAGCAATGGAAGAAACTTTCTATTAAAGAAACTTTGTTGGCAAAACTTTATACTCAAGTTACTTCAGTAGGAGTTAGTCCGAAATGGAATTCCCATATGCCCCAGTTCAACAATTCTCTTTGCGGCCTTAAAAACTCTGCCTTGCGTACGCTCCCGAAATGTTTATTTCCCCATTGGTCCTGCCTAGATCTGAATGGTTTGCATTTGCCTCCATGTCAATTGAGCGAATTCTGTTTAAATAACCTGAAGAGCCTTGAACCTATGGGAACCGAGAGATTACCTAGATATTCTGACATTGTATAATTAAATTTGTCGGGAAAAAAGCTTTGTTCTAATACAAAAATAGAGGAAATGTCCTAAAATAGAATTTACAAACGTTGTAATAAATCAAAATTGTGTCCACAAAAACGTAGGTAAAGTAGGCCAGGTTTCTTTAGCGTATTATTGAATATTATCAACACTATATTAATATTATTTATTAGAATCTGTTATAAGAAATTTTAACTATTTTTGACGAGTGCGAATATTTTTTAATTAAAACAAATTTCTACTGTCCTTTACTGCAATAATAAATTAATTGGAGGGTCTGGTTCATCAATGTGGTGAACATTAGTTTATCATTTCAGTAAGGACATTAGATAATCGTTTCAATTCAAATAGAATCACACACGCGTCAAAAGGAGTTCAAATTTCTCAATAGAAACTATATATATGGGGTGGGAGAGAAACTGGGAGAAACTGTCTAACCAATAGAAATCTTTCGTACCTATTAATATGCTTAAATCCGTAAAAGCAAACGTAATTAGTGAGTTAATTCATTATGAAATAAGGAAATACTTCAAGAAACCTCATTTTACTAAATCCATTGAAAATGTAAACGCTCTATTCCAGACCTACAACGATCTTCGTTGCAATGTTGATCAGGAAGCAACGCGATAAGAAAAAAAAAAGACATTTGGACACATTTAAACGTCCGCTGTTATTTTCCTGTAGGCCAAACAAAAAAAAACTAGATATTTTAAAATCGTAACGTCATGAAATGGAAAATTTATCATTGCATTAAGGGCAGTTGAAAATTATTATTTTTTTTTTAAAAGATTCATACGCCTCAAAAAAAAATAATTGCAATTTATTAAAACAGATGGCGAGCTAATGTATCATATACGAAATTTTAAGTTGAAAAATAAGAATAAGTTATAAAAGGATATTAAAAAAGGTATCTATAAACAACGTGGCAATGACAAGAACCAAGAAAACCCTAATTAAAGTAATAAAACTTATGAATAAGTAATTATGAAAAAAAAGAAAGAATAGATTGATCCAGCACTAAGTACCGTTCCAATAGAAATCAAAGAGAGATTGAACTGATCATTTCATGTGAAGTAAGTCAAATGAATTTTACAAACTGAAATGGCACAAGGTTTAGCCAGAGATCACAACATTATCATCGTGAATAAGCAATTAATCGAACCGAAAAGAAATCTAGTGGATGTAAAACACATCAGTTGTGATAAATAATTGTAAGACCTTTAATTAAACAATACCGCTGGTTTCTGGAGATAGTTTCTTTTCATTTTATTAACGTAGCTTCAAGCTTTCGGGTATCTCTGCCCTTCAACAGGAGAACATAAATAAACTAATAAAACGCCGCCTGGTATGCCAAACTTTTACAAAAATTTATTTAAAGAGATTATATAGATTATTGTAATAGTTTAGCATCTGGCGGCGTTTTATTCGTTTATTCAGGTTCCCCTGTAGAAGGGCAGATATACCCGAAACCTTGAGACAACGTTAATAAAACAAAAACAAAAACTCATCTCCAGAAACCTGCGGTATTGTTTATGTCCAGGAGATTTAAACCAATTGAGTTGTAAGAACTGCCACAACTTACATCAACGTGTCGAAATGCCGAGAAAGAGTTCAGTTCAAAAACTCCTAAATTATAATAAAAATAATTATAAGTAATAGCAAAAAAAGATATAGCTCTCATAGGCTTATAAAACAGCTTCTTCCATGCTCAATAATTTGGTAACTCACTTCCCCTTTCTATGAATCAAACATCTAATAATCTCTTTAGAAGATAGAGAAAGTAGGATTTCTAACCATATATGCATAGTATTTATATGTAAATTTAACTATAAAATATTTTTATTAGCATATATAAAAACAATATATGTAATTATCCTCTCTTTGCGTGAGAAATGAATCTATTTACTAAAATATATAACTCTATAGATAATTATAGTTTGGCTTTGAATAATATGCTAACGCAAAATATATAAGAGAAATTGCAATAGAGAGCTAAAATATAAGCCTAAATAAAGTATGAAATACTATACAATTAGAAAGAGGCGTATATCTTATACGAAATTAGTTTTATTCCAATATTTCAACGATTCGTTCAACGTTGTGATAAAAGGTGAGTGTGTCCGTCCAAATATTGAAATAAAGTGATAATTCCGTAGAGAACCAAGATATACGCTTCTTTTATTGAACGTCGTCTATGATCTAGATATTTTAAGTTATCAATATAGAGTACTAATATAAGATGAAAATTATACTGTAAAGTATATTAATCTATGTACGCATTAGAAGTAGAGTATATTTTTAAAGGGAGAATCGCTAAAAAGCAGGAGTGCACAACCTTGAGAAGCCAAAATTATAGTTAAATCAGCTTTAAATATGAAAAAAAAAAAAACTCGGGTCTATCTGCATCGGTAGATGGTATTAAGGAGTACTTCTATCTATCTATGGAGAGGTACAAGGTGGAACACTCCTGACTTTACACTAACTAACTGCCGTTCTCGGCAGAGGTAAGAGAACATCTACAGTAATTGCTAAGTACTCAGGGCCCCGTAACATACCTGGTGCGGCCGACGATACATCCGAGGGGTGACAGGACAAGCTGGAAGAGATAGATCTGGCAAGTCCGGCAAGTGTCAGAATCAACCCTTCCAACTCGCCCGGTCACCCACGCGCGCACGACGGAGAAATACGAGCTAAGTCGCGAGCGCCTTTCTTTATACCCTCATCAAGTGGGCCGCAGCGATAAGGAAGGCAGGTGTGGGAGGGGCAAAGTCCGGCGACGCCAGGTAAGAACACCGCACCGATAGCTTATCTGGCCTCACAGGAAACTGACGAGTGTGTGCACAGGGTCGGCCATTGGAGCAAGTCTTCGCGGAAGCCGGTTTATAGGCGCATTAGACACTCGGAAGGCTGCCTCAGTCGGAGAGATCTTCGTGAGTTCACATTGAGTTCCTAAGCATTATCAAGAAATGAACAATAATGGTGGCCTGTTCCATACTCCTTCAACCAATAGATCGGCCGAAGCAGATGCCTCATCTCAATTCGATGGTTCACAATGTTGAGAGCTATTTAGAGAGGGATTCAACCCTACTCACACATTAGCAGATAGGATTACGTATTGGTGCACGTGCACCTTTACCGGTACAGGGAAGGTGACTTTACTATTTTAGACTTATTCCACAGATGTAGAGAAGAAGAGTCACATACAATAAAAACAATAATAACCCACATGTGGTTTCTCTACAAGATCATAGGATATAATGGCCAATTTCCTTATATTATAGTTTCTCTCAGTAGGTAGGTAGAAGGTACGACTCTTCCACATACAAATTTAATAACCGAAACACGATATTTTTTCTCCAGATACAAGTAGAATAAACGTTCTCCGGTTTCCGATAAGTGCGGCGAGAGAGAACGAACGATACTTGTACCCTTTATGTTTTTTTTTGGAAAGATATGATTTAGTGCGACACACTAGGGAGTGAATAGACAGACTACCGCCATTAGTAAAAACTAACAGAGTATTACAGTAATAATACATGTAGTTTAAAGCCTTTTATATATTTAAAAAACAAGTGAAAAAGATGAAACAAACTTCTCAAAATATATATATATTTTTTTCATATTGATCCAGGTATGCTTCTATAAATACCCTTAAACTATTGTACTAGCGAATTTACAGTAAAACTAGGAACGACGTACCTTCGTAATGTAACGGGTTAGTGGAGGAGAAATTCAGCCCTCTGGGGAGTAAATCTATTTCTCCTTTAAAAGATACAGGACAACGAATGCAAAGAACAAATAGAAGAACTTGATCTCTCCTATATTGTGAAGTTAGAATACAGTAGAATCACTCACGAGAAAAGATACCATAGCCAAGAAACCCGGTTTTCTGGGATTTCGTATCAGGGACTCTCGTGTGGCCATGTTAAGAGGAGTCTTTCAACCGAAAGTCTCTGACCATCTTCAGGAGAGACAGCCATGTTTATAGACGGCCTCTTATGGAACACTATACTGAATAATAATAATAATAATAATAATGGTATGAAAATGTTTCCACAAGAGAATAGAAAGTTCTATCAAGATAGGTTAATGAGAAGAAGTGTCGCCCAAGGTGATACCGCCTGTATTGGAGGGTGAATCGGGGGAAAAGGAGAAAAAAAAAAAACGCCGTCAACTGGGAGATTTCAAGGTGTGTTAGAAATTACCGGTTATTTTTAATAGCAGTGCGAGATGTGAAATAAAGAGGGGCTGAAAATATTTTATTTCAAAATATCAATTTAAAAACATCTTAATATATCTCAACTATTCAATATGATATAGGGGTTAAAAGTATATTTTTTAAAACATCCTCAAGATGGTGTTCAAAAAGAAGTATTTAGTACTGAGAAAACCAACGCGGTTGAAAAGCACCTAACCTATACACATCTCCAGCGGGATATTCTTCAGAATGACCTTTAAAACATTTTATTAAAGATACCCTGTTATGGTCTCTAACTCGGGCTTAGTGCTCCTCAGACCTCTGATAAAGGTTTTGACTACAAGTCCATATCGTATTTCACAGGCTCTTTATCTCACAGAATGGTGGTGAAAACGATCAACTCATCCCTGAAATCCGTCTAACCTAAAATTCGCTATCTCCAGAAACGACTTAAACTCATCATGACGTAGGCTTTATAATACGAAATCCAGATAATTTGCCTAAAACATCCTTATTTATATTCATGTGTGCAAATATATGGTACGGAAACTTTGATGATCAAAATGATTTGAGAGAGATGGGTGTATTGAATTTAAAATACCAAGAGGTTCGAACTTGGAAAATTATTGTAGACAAGGGTCGCCCGTCCTGGGTAAATGTTTACCTAACAAATATTATTTCAACAAGGGTTTATTATTGATGGCATAGCAGTAGTAGTGAAAAATTCATTAATAAATTGCTATCGCGATCATTTCAATACCCCAGGAATATGATAATTAGACTGTTATCAGACTAATTTGCATATCGTGTGGGGTCGAAATTTCGACACTGGACTCCACCAAGATATACGTAGGGTATTTGATAGGTCAGATACAGTGAAGAGACGCAGACGGAACAAACTCAATATGCAAATGGAGTGACTTTACATCATACAGAGAATTAAGACTATTACAATTACTCCGCGGCCATATTTTTACTCTATATAGTATCCAAAATCCACGTAGGCGGAATAAAAGGATTATTATCATACTACTTTGCCTACTTCGAGGTCGAAAACAGATTCGTCCAAGACCTAACGCCCTACCGTGTCGAAGTATATGTCCTAACGGAATCAAATTCTCATAATTTAAATAGGGCTTTCAAGAATAAGTAAACTCTCGAGGCCTGAGAGATGTACTGTAAAGCCCCAGCTCAGGGTCATAAAGGAGGATCTTTTAAGGCTTTCTAGATTAGATACTAAAGTTTTATTCATTTATGTGAGCATTAGATTTTATGTATTTAATTAAATCAAAAATCATCGTAGGAATTTAAACAAATTCGGAAGGTTTTTTTTTTAATTTTTAAATCATTGGAATTTGTCCAAAAGTAGATAGAAGGGGTTATAGATCAAGTGATGTGAAGGCCTCATGGTGTTCGAAATCGCCTTCTGCAATCATGGCATGAACATGATCCTGATGGCTTCTGAAAAAATTTCATTCCGATGTTTTATTGATAAAATTATCTTGAAACATAGCTAACATTTCTAATAAAAGAAAAAAATCAAAGGATGGCTAATTATCAATATCCAATATTGATAGTAGCCGTGACACTTTCTGAAGATTTTTGAACTTCGGTTATAGAAGAAAAAATTTCAAAGCATAAATTCTTAAATCAAATATTTCTCAATTGTTGCTATCTCGACTGAAAAAAAAAAATCATTTTCTTAGAAATATTTATTTTTGATTTATGAACAAGATGTTCCTTCTTTGGTCCATATTCGAATGTTCTCAGCCTGGAAAGTTTCCTTATTTTTCAACATGATGCAAACTCCTCGATATTCCCGGATCTTCGGATAATTATGGGTAAGTCAACAATTTGAGCCGCGTTATTCCACTGAGCACCACCCAACTGTGGAGATGAAGAAATGGACCATAGACAGTGAAATCTCACCATGATTCCATCCATATGATTCTATGGGATCAACTTCCTGAGATTTTTATAAATCCCCAAAATGATTTAACCTGATTTAATCCCCAACTTCAAATGAAGAGAGTATTCTTATTTTTAGTCGGTCACCTCTATGGGAAGTACTACAACAAGGTGTGAAATGGTTTCACATAAAACAGCAATGTGCAGATATTTGGCAACAAGGTGGATGATGAATCACGGATTGTTTGAATCTAGTCAGCGGTTGACCAACCATTTATCTCGTTCTCTAAACAACACGACCCATGTAGGCTTCGACCATTTTTTTCCAGCGGATTAAAAAAAAAACTTTATTTTTAATATATATTTGACACTTTAGAAATATAACAAAATATTTTTTTTATTGTAGAGATAAATGAACATATTAAAACAAATAAACATATTGCTTAAGGTTTTTTTTATATTTTATAAATATTAAAACAAGAAAGGACTTTGTGGAAGGTACACCGCTATATAATAACCCTAGAGCAGGCAAACTGCGGCTCGCGAGCCACATGTGGCTCTTTGGATGTGAATCTGCGGCTCTTTATATAGTTCCATACGCAAATATTTATGCGAGTACTATTTATTGTTGGCAAGAACTCTTTCGACTCAAAAGTTTCGACCCCTGCCCTAGAGCAAATGCAATCGGCAGTGATGAAAGTCAAACACAACCAATTAAATACAATGATTTGTAAACGGTTTTAAGCATTACTGTAAATTCACGCTTATTCACCAATCTCTCAAGTCCACTTTATTAGCCTAACTTTTACTATTTTGTGTAGGGCATTGTATGCGAGTCATTTAGTCAAAAAAGATAATTTGATTTTTGGAAACATTCAAGTTTAAAATGTTTTACATACCTTCAAATTTTCAAATCCTCTTTTAAAAAAAGAATACCCAATTGTTTACAGTAATTTAAATAAAACATTTCTATTGTGTCGTAATGGTAATGGGATTCAATAGGCAAAAAGCGATATTGCCAAGTTTCCAACTTTTAATAAAATCTCTATTTAGAAATAAAGCTAAGCGTGATTTCCAGTTTTAAGCTTTTCAACGGACCTTTAATATAATGCGCGAAGCTTACACATACCTATATACAGCTCGTGTGTAGTCGTATATTTACATTATTTATGAAATTTCCTTTAAATTCTTATAATTTGGGGTAAAAGTCCCTTATATGCAGCCGGGACAAGAAATCTAGCCTTAATTCTAACACGGATGGTCCTCTAACAAAACAGATGTTCCATGGATAAGAGAGAGTAATCTGTTTAAACTCGGTCTCCGTTTACTCTTTCAATCCTATCTTTCAACACCTGTTTATCCACTGATGGGATTTCTAGATGGGCCGGCTAGGTGAGACCGATTATCCAATCTCTCCAATTCACTCTTATCTTCCTCTAAGCCAGTTCAAACTATAGGATAAGAATTTATTTAGTAATTCTAAAGTAAGAACGATGTAATATTTTCGTTCCAAATTAGCCGAATAATTAGGCAGAGATAACTAATAGCA